GGAATGAAAAATGTAACACTTAAGCATGGAAGACTTAGGGTGATGCCATGATCTAAACAAGGAATAAATCACATTTTAAGAACACGCAAACAACAGATTTCAAAGACAACCAATACACTTAATGCAGATGAAAAAAAACAACATTATGCACTAACCGATGCCACAAGTTAAAAATCACAAAGTACTTCTTGATCTGACCAATCTGATTTGTACTGAACAGTCATTTTGGTAAAGATTTCACAGTTAAGATTCCAGAATGACAGTCAGTACAAAAATATTTTGGCACACATATGTAGGATCTACTGTTTAACATTCATATAGGTAGAAATGTCAATGAGAAAGCAAAGTTTAAAAAGCAGTCAAATTCACAAATACTGCCTCACCTGTACGATCTGCTGTAATAGTCACGATCATCATATCCTCTATCATACCCTCTGTCATAGTAATCTCGTCGTCGTGAGCTGCCACTATGAGTAGTGAAAGGGAATTAATAATAAAACATTCATATTGCTTGCAGTGCTTTTCAGTAGGCACACAGTCAGTTAAGTATACACCATTTTAACTGGTTTATATTATTACCTCATGTTCTCAGCCAAAATAATTGTGAGCACTCCTACTTTCCCATCAGCGCAGATGGGAACAGAACTACTTAAATAATTGCTTTTTAAAAACACTTGAACTTTAAGACAGCTACTTTACTCTTTGGTCTGAAACCTCTTAACCTTTTAATATCACAGGCATACAAGGAATTCCATTCTGTGACGACCCTTCATTCACTTTTAACTCTCAGAAAGCTCCTTTTGGAAGAGCTTTCTGATGAAAAAAAAAAAATCCTGCAGCCTCAACACATCATCAACTACATAACCACCAGTACCGTAATTCTTGGGAAAACAACTGGGAAATTACTTGGGAAAGCAATTTACATTCTTGGCAACGTTACGTTGAAAAATATACTCTGCCATGCCACACAGCTGCTCAATTAGTATTTGTTAATTCACTGAAAAACTTGAGCTTCCAAAGACACTGATATTTGAAAGTACACAGGACAATAACATAAAATAATCTGTAACTGTCAAAAATATCATACCATAGACTGACTTAAACGTTTAGATAGCTCAAGTTTGGGCTGTATAACTGAAGAACACAGGTTTCTGCTCACTATTATCCAGGCTGACCCCAGATCAGGCGCAGAGAAGCGCTACATAAATTAACACCTCCTATCTAAAGAGCTGGAAGATATGCATTACTACTGATGGCTGTCCACATGTAGGGTTGGGGGGGGAGAGGGGTGTTTTCTTCAATTTCTGAAAAGCATTCTTAACTAGTTGAGGATTTTCTGTAGTTTTCAGATGCTTTTCCAGACAACCACATCGATGTTAACATAGCTCTTGTTAAGACTTTTTTTTTTAAAAAAATACTTAAACAATGATTAGGCCTCAACAGTGATATTTGCATTTTAGTTTCTAGTACTGAAACATCTCCATAATGGACAACACACCAGTCTTAAGCAAGGGAACAGCTTCCTGAACAGTGCATTAATGAAGAAGCCTGATGAACTTGAAAAAACACACAGGGATTACAGAACAGTTTTTAAAAAAAAACACAAGACACAATCCTATCCTGCAGTGGTTTGGGAAAAAAAGCAAACTACAGGTAACTTACTAAGTAGGTCTTCCCATATAGATTCCAGGGGTAGGTGTGTGAGGTCTTTTTGTTATGGAGAAGTCTACCCGGATCCTTCTTCCGTCCAACTCCATTCCATTGGCACGTTCCTTGGCCTAAACAGAGCCATAAAATACAATTGGCTGTAGGTATCAATTTTAGTACTAACCCAAATTTCTAGCCCCTGTTTCAAGTACTAACAGAAGCCCTAAAATGGCTCAGCTAGGATACAGCACGTCTAAGTTTCACTTAGGCCTTAAACTAACACCCAACATAACCTCTAAGACATTTCTAGGCCAGCTGGATATAAGCTTTAGCAACCACCTTAAAATGTGACATTTATTACATAAAAAGCCTGAAAGGAACATAATTTAAAAACTGTTTCGGCATTTCTTTTTCCAATATGATTAAGAGCAACCTTTGAACATGCTTATGTAGGGTGGTGTAATTACGTGCACCATGAAACAAAGCCATTTAGAAATGCAAAGAGCACTGCCGATTTTTTTATCTCCAATACATGCTCAAAACCTACCATAACCTTGACTATAGTAATATCTGAGTCCTAAGTACACCCAAAGAAAAAACTGAAAACCATTATTTTTTTTTTTGCCAAGTAGCAGGACCAACATCCAAAGTTCCAACCTACAATGGAAGTCTTCATGTCAAATTCGGAAAAGACAACACCAGAGATGATACGTAGTGGAATTTAAGCCAAATATAAGCCTAGCCACAGTGCACGAGCATACTGCCCTCTCCAAGGGCTGGCCTGAGCGTAGAATTCTATTACCTGTGGAGTACAGAATTCCCTGTTCATTCTGTAGCACTTGTAAGCACAAATCCCATAATTTCCTATATACAGTATTGGCACTGCTTCAATTTACTGAATCCCTCAGTGTTTCCCATGGACACGTGCAGGCACCATGAAGCCATGTAAAGCCCACCCTTTCATTTTAAGGAAAGATTCCTCCTAACTCCTTTCAGACTGAAGCACTAGAAGTCAGCAGAAGACATGTTAGCACTCTCTACAGAAAGGTCCGAAATGGATGTCTGATCAGCTCTGAACGTGTCTGTTACTAAATACAAGATCACAGGTGGAATTAGGAAGAACTTTCACTTAATTATTAGAACAGAGAGCCTGGGTTTCCATTTTCTTTTCTGTGCTGGCACAGTCTGCACTATGGGCAGCCTGAAGTTTGCTTTTGTGAATTATAAAATAGCTCAGCCTGCACAGGGACCAGATTCACACCTCTCCATTCTCTCCTCTGGTACACAGTAGATATCAAAGGTTGGACTCAATCTTGAAAGTCTGTTCCAACCGAAACTGTTCTATGATTCTTCTGAACTAAGACTCTGACATTGAGATGCCAAGTATTTTTGAGGCCCTGAGTTTCCCCAGGCTGTATCATGTTAGAGGATAAACATCCCAGCAACTGAGAACACAGCAAACATGCCATATTTTCTGCACCCCAACCTACTTCCTTAGCATCCTCAACGTTCTCGAAGTACACAAACGCAAATCCTCTTGAACGCCGAGACTGCTGATCATACACAATGGAAACATCAGCAATTGGACCATACTTGGAGAAAACTTCTCTCAGATCTCTTTCTGTGGTGTACAGACTCAACCCAAACACGCCAAGACAACAATTTGGGTCAGGATTTGCCTATAAAGGAAGAGATAATATGGATAGCTTTTAGAATAAAAATGCTTGTATATGCCATACAAGGTATTTCGAAAGTTATGACTGTCAGAGCTTAAAGACAAAACAAGAAGATACTGCTGAGATTCAGGTCGGGTCAACTTGCTAATAGACATTATTACAATCGAACCTACAGATATACAAGCCTCCTTCCACAAAAATACTTTGCATTTCTCAGGGTACTGTACAAACTACAGTTACATCATTTAACAGGTACTGTATTTAGAAAGTTTCCCCTCCAAAAGCTAGGTGGTAACTGAGGAAAAGATACATATACAACACATAGAGATCACATCTTCATTTGTGTTATTACTCTCCACTCCTACTTCAGCACAAACCACACTGTGCTCAGCCACCTGAGCCTGGAAAGCAGCTAAAAGCAAGCTGATTTGCACACTCACTTAATAAAGACACCATCACAGGATGTATTCAGGACTATGTGCGGGTCATCTACTTCTGTAACAGACATACCCTGTTTCCAATGTGACGTCTGCGGGTAGACATGGGTGAATGGCTGTGACTGTGCCGTCGTCGATAATCCCGACTGTAAGACCTACTTCTGGATCTCCTATGAGAGCGGGAACGAGAGCGTGATCTCGTGTAGTGTCTACGGGAACTCCTCCTTGATCTAGATCTGAATTTAAAAAAAAAAAAAAAAAAAGTGCAGCGTTAGTTTGGTGGGTTTAACCCTTCAAAACCGCACCACATACTCACAAACAAAAAGCTCAAATAACCATTTTCTAGAACCTGTAGTACCACATGATTCAGCTATAATCAGTTTAGTCACTACTCTGAAGGACTGTGTTCTAAATCTCACAATTAGATTACTCTAGATGCTGTCCAAGCATTTCTACTGCAGAACAGGAACCTCAACTTCCGTTTCAGGTAGCTTTTATTTCCCCACTAGCTTTTAACCTTCTCTAACAAGGCTATCTTGGTTTGACATGTATATGCTTAGAATATTCACAGCAATTACAGTAGCATTTAAGTAAAAATTTACTTTTAAAGACTTAACATGGAAAAGGAATAGGAGTAAATATGACTTAACATAAAGCATGCACTACTGCAGAAGCACATGCTTCTGCTTATTTTAGCACTCAAAATAGCACTGCTTTCAGTGATACCAAAAAGCAAACACACTTTTTACACTGTGCTTAATTAGAAGCCCAGAAGTCTGACAAACGTCCCCGAAACAGAGTTTAACATGATGAAACTGAGCAGTAGGAGACTTATTCACTTCCGGTACTTCAACAGTTGTTTAACACTAACTGTTCAAAAACGTTACATGTTCATGCTTCAAGTGTATTTAGGCAAAAAAGGTGGAACCACTCACTAATTTCAGCCCAGGCCTCCTTGGAACAGTTCCAGAAATGATTTCTGACAGCACTAGGTCTGTGGAGATGAGGTTCTGAAACACTTAATTCCCCCTACTAAACTTTTAGCCCTTCCAACACAGACAATCTTAGTTAAAAACCAGGACAGTCACTTAAAGCAGAACTACACCTGAGCTTGGCCTGCTGATGGTAGTCACTGAATAATGTGTTCCGCACAACTACAAAGGAAATTGCCGCACGGCTAAGAAGTGCAATAAATAAGTTTAACACTTAAAGGCTCTTAATCGTCAGTTGTTAACCTTCGGGCCAAGACCGTAAGCTACCCTCATCGCACAACTGTGTTCCACAGTGCCAGCACCACCATTATGCTGGCATGAACAAGGCTCTTAACCTGAACCCTTTTTAACTCCTGAGCATTTAACAGCTTCTTCCACAGTCAGGATTTCTCACTAGCTAAGTTGCACCAGACAGCCAAACTGCACAACATACACTCTTTACATTATAGGCTTCCTTTTAAAAAAAAAAAAAAAAAAAAAGAAGCGCCTTCAACCTTGTCAGAAGTGAGTCAGCAAAGTTCAATTTGAAACATGGATACATATCCAGGAGAAATTACTTCAGTGTGTCCTACTACTATGTATATAGAAAGAATGAATTATTTCTGGCAATAAGTTAAAAAAATAAACAAAAAAAGAGAGAACTTCCCTGAGGCAGGGAAGACAGTAAAGAAAGACAGAAATAATTTTTAAAAGGTCAACATGTGCATACCCCCACGTTTCAGCCAATGATACAGAAAAAAATGAAGACAAACACAGAACTGATGGTTCCAGGTAAAGAGAATGCACCCAGCACATTTAACAAGGGCTGGACACTTGAAAACCAGGCAATCTGTTATGTGAGAGATCAAGGCTTATTTTAAACAGGCACTGCTTATATTGTTGCCTTAAATGTCATTCCACCACTACTCATTCTCCTCTGCTGTAAAGCCACTGCAGCTGAAAATCCTTCTTTTTCATTAAGAATTGCTTGGACTTTAGGGAGTCAGTCGAAGATAATAATCTTGCTACACTGCAGATGAAAATGTCTATAAAAGCAGATTTTTACATCAAGTATATTCACACACCAACTGATAAATACACCAGAACACAGATTTGTTCCCAATTCAAAGTTTAATTTATAAAGCTGGTAACTCACAAATACATTTGCAATAGAAACTACCAAGAAATACAGAAGTTCTCAACATGTAATTTCTCTGGTGAGACAGACAAACTGCTTGCGATCGATCACATTCAGATATGTGATGGCACTGAAGAGAGATGTAATTATGTTGGTTCTAACTATGTGCTTTGACAGAATACTGCCCAAATCTGCTGATGAACACACTCTTAACTCTGCAATGTACTTCCAGTATTTCCAGCCATAGGCATTTTCAAGACAGCTGTTAAATGCTCAGGAAGCTGTGATAGTCATATGCTTCTACTTTCATCCATCAAAAAGTAACAAGTTAGTTGCCAGAGTATTATTTACAGGATGATCTCTTGCAAATAATTTACTAGTCTCTCATAAATTCTAGATCTTGTACTTTCTTGTTCCAGCGCTTTATAAAACTTGAGACTGCATTTTTATACGCTATTATGGTTATTCTGCAAGTAAGAAACACGATGCTCTGAAGAGCATACAGTCCCTAGGGGTTATGGATTAAGGTGCACAAGGACATGCCTGGCTGGGTCCTGACTTGTTATTTTAAAATTAAAAGGTTCCCCAAAGGTGTTTTGCAGTCTCCATCCTTGAAGGTTTTCAAAACCCAACAGGGTAAAGCCCTGAGAACATGGTCTGAGCCCAGAGATGACTCTGCCTATTAACCTCTCACTACTAGCAATTCTAGACATCACTCTGATTTCATACTACACACAGCGACGCTACCAAGTATCTAATTTGACATATTTGCTTTCTCACTACAGGGACTGACTGCCATGTGCATGATATGACACTTGTGACTATGCCTGAAGTACACAGAAAAGACAAGCCCACTCCTCTGCTGTCAAAATTTCCCACCTATTTTCCTCCTCAGCCTTTAAAAACTGATCACTTTGATCTTGCAAGGGGACCTAAATACTGTAGCTGATAGTGTTCTCCATCATGAGTGACGGCTAACAGCACAATGTCTTCCTCCAGCCTGAGCCCTGGGCTTTGGCGAGCCTAACGCATTGCTTATACGTAAGTATATCGTGAATGAGCTGGAAATCCCACTGCTGAAACCCACGTTTGTTAATCCAAATGCTTACGAATAAGTAAAGGAACTATCGATACAAGTATTTCTGTAGTCAACATTTGATTATTTAGACTTCTAAGAAAATAACATCATTCACCCATGTACAGGTTTTGCTGCTTCTCCATTCTTTAAGCATGCACCTCTTACGTGACACCCAGCAAGGCCAATGAAAAGTAGCTAGCAGTGTCATTTACGGTCTTTATAGACTATTGGCATATTTTAAGTGTCAGTTTTGTCTCTTAACAGCTTTAAGAGGAATTCTGTCACTGCTCACAGCTCTTTAGCACATGAGTACAAGGACAGGTATAGAGTACAAAAGGTATTTTCATATTGTACATTTGTGTTGTCACATAAAATACAATAAGCAAGATACGTTCACTGGAACTTTTTTGTGAGAGCTTGGAAAGCTGTCTTAAACTTTAATGCTTTCCAGCCTGTTAATTTTGAAATTATATTAATATATATTTAAAAGGCCAGACAGATGTCTGTTGAAATCCACATTTATCTCTACTGCTCCTTTTTCAGGGAATATGTAATTAACTACTTCAACGCATCACTGCTTCCAGTGAGAAAAGGTAATACATTAATGTGACCTAAAATGGAAAATCTGCTGATGCACGCATTTCTTTTAATGCACAAAATCCCCCTAAGATCAAGAATTCCTAATGCTTCACACTCAGAAACTATCCATTTTTCTGAAACTTAAAAGGCAGGCCACCTCCAAACTCTATCAGCAGAGAGCCTACGTAGCCAACTACCTCTTGGAAATAGCTGCAAGAAGATCTAACTTGATAGCCTGGCTTTTCAGATCCTGAAATCACACAGGCCCCTCTGGATTCCATGTCCGCAGATGACCAGTTATCTCTGGAAAGAGAACCGGGCGAAGCTGGATTTCAGTTCGCCTCCAACATAATCATCCAACTTGTGAAGAGGAAGAGGTAAAAGAAGTAAACTCACCTGGATTCAGACCTGGATCTAGATTTTGACCTGGAACGCCTGGAATCCTCCTTAGATCGAGATCTTGCAGGGGTGTGCCTCCCCGACTTGCCAGACCCATGAGCACTTCCGCTTCTGGAAGCAGAACGGGATTCCTGCACGCAGATATTGAAAGCCTAATTTGTACACAATTTCTTGTTTACCTAGGGTCTGTAAACAAGCTCCAGTGAAATAAATGGTAAAAATTCATAGCTATGTGTCCGGGCAGTTGGCATTAGAACTGCCTAGATTCTTAAGAAGATTTTTTTTTTCCCTGGTAGAGACTTCTTTACCCTGCATATACTTTTGCTATTAAACAGATAATGCATGCATGTTTAGCAAAATATACAGGGACACATAAACAGACTAGTAATTACTTAGCGTAGTGCTTTCAGATTCCAGATTACTTCTTATCTTAACTTCATTTTTATTCCTTTTCTTCATTCTTCCGTTTCAAATTCTGACTTCTTTCATCTTCCCCACTTCACACAAATTGCTCAATATTCTACAAGTGGGACTTCTGGTCTGATAATTAGCATGCATTCACTTTCTTTTTTTTCAAATTTCAGCTTCACTTATTCCTGAGCTTCAAATAATTCTCATTTATAAAACTTGTCAAATGGCGACTTCCGCATTTTCCTTCTTCAACATTAACCTTAATAGAAAAAGAACAGGATGAAGAATATTTAAAAACTCCAGGATAAAATCTAGTGCCAAAACTGAAACTAGAAAAAAAAATATGTTTTGTGGACTTTTACTATATATGCAGTTCAAGAATTGAATCTACCAAATGCCCTACTATTTTATACACAGATTCAGTCAACTCAGTTTAACTTAGTACTAAAGTAACTGAATTTGCTATTTATGCCTATATTTAATAGCAAACACACAGTGGATCAACTGAGTATCGACTAACGAACACTAGCATTAGGAAACTCAAAATACTTTGTACTGTTAGCCACATACTTAGACAAAACCAAGAAGTGGTGACTTAAGCAAGGTCCCTACTGCAGCCAGAGACAACTAATGGACGTGCTTTTTGAATGCTGAAAGCACAATGCAACTGGTCTTCCAATGACTTACAATTATGTTTACTTTCTGGGACTTTGCTTGCAGTTTAGAAGGCTTAGTTTGAACGTTTATGAGTACACTCACACCTACTCTGCCTGCACAAGTGTGATTACATTTGCAAGCTTCATGCTTCCAAGTAAATAACAATTTTCAATCCACCACAAATGCAATTCTGTGCCACACACAAACACACACATTGTTCTGGTATAATACCCCATCTACTCTATTATTCACTTGTAATCTTCCTTGGTAATGACAGAACCTAATAAGTGTTTTTAACTTTTTAAAATCAGTATAATGCTTAACTTCAGTCACATGGCTTAAATAATTGGTTTGAATACATGAGAAGGTATTCTTAATTCAGCAGCAGAGTCCATGTTTCCTAAAACCAAGCAATTCTAAATTGTGTCAATTCTGATTAAGAGTGCTCACTAACATATTGGAGTAGCAGATTTTACTCAAAAAACCCACTAATTTTACCTTTGTAACATCTCTTAAACCTGAACACTCAATGGGCATTCCACACTACGCATTCAAAAACTCATTTGCTAACCTAAAATTTATTTGTGCTTAAACCACTCCCATATAACAAAGTGTAGCTGTTCACAATTGCCTACCATGTGATAATGGGGGGTGGAGTAAGAAACACAACTTGCAGGATAAAGCAGATTTTCAACTAATACAAAAGCAACAGAAATAATGCAAAGATGGTCAAGGCCATATTCTTCTCTGTCAAGGTGTTTAAGGAGGTGTTTTAAAGTATAGTGACCTCATATATTAAACCTGCAAAGAGTAGTGCAAATATTGAAAACTAATTTAAGTTACTAACAACAAGTTTAACCTAAACCCTTTACTATCTTTGAAAGAAAACAATTCACAGAGATTAGTTCTGAGTTAATTTATTAATTTAGCCATCAGAAGTCTTCAGTTCTTTTTTTTCTTTTTTAAAAAAAGTTAGACAAAGCAAGACTGAAAAAGGGTTAAAAAACAGAGCTAAGGCTATTCTTTGAGGAAAAATATTTCTATTTTTAAAATACAGTCCCCTTGACAGATTCAGGCTAGACATGAGGAGCCATGTCCAAATACAGGTGGACTAATACTGAAAAGAGAGAAGAAATGCATGAAGGAAGCAGCAGGGAGGATCTTGCCCATAAACATACCCCACACCCTTCTTAGAATTTTTAGGAGTCAGTAAAAGTTTGAGAAATCAGTATTAGCATAAGCAAATGAGTGAAGTCTTCATCTGTTTGACACACTTTTTTGGACGATCCTTGCTATATTAACTGAGGTGGAAACTGGATACCTAGGATCTGAAAAAAAACTTCAGAAAAAAAACCAACTGTGTACCTAAATTAGAAAACTAAACAGTTGTCTTACTTTTATGCAGCTCCTTTGGACTTTACAACATTTTCCATTTTTTAAACATCCCCATTTTGTTTCCCAATCACCTTTCTTTGAAACCTTTATCTTCAGTCTAGCGCAGTTTACAGGATTGTGTCACTTCTTTATTACTTTCAGCCACAAAGGAGCTTGCTGCACCTCACCTTCTCTGACTATTACTAAGACTAAGACTGGTAATAACCCCTAAAATTTCAAAGTTACTACCGACCCCCACCCTAACCCACAAGAAATCCCCCCTATGCAAAATTTCAAGCACCCAGAGCCTGTAGCACTCCAAACTGAGTTTACCCCCCATTACAGTGACACCCACTGAGGGTTTGCAGAAGCTACTCCCATAGCTCACTTCAATCCACCACCTGGCTGTGTTGTCCTCAATATTTTCTTTTTCTACTTTCTGCTCTTCCGCTTTGTGGGGTTTTTTGTGAAGATTTTTAAAAATGCCACAATAGGCTCTTTTCGTGACATGTGGAAGAAGAAACAACATTCTTTATCCTATCTATACTCAAACGCTGCTGGTAAGCAGATCAAAAGACTGGTGTTCACCACACATAACCATTTTTTTCTAACTTGGAGATTCTGAAGTGTGGATTTTAAAAAACCACCAGATCCCTTGATCTTTACCAACAGCTCTTCCCCTTCATCAGGCATTACTGGAATTCAGGTGGAAGCCCTTTAGTCCAGGCTTGTGGTTTCTAAATTATTCTTTCCATACTTTAAGCCTATTAAAAACAATGTGCAATACTGTAGGGGTGGTATTTTTATCACTCCGAGTACACTCCTAAAGATGCTTTACAGTCATCTATTCTAGAAGCAGACAATGTCACAGCAATAGGATTACTTTGGGGGCAGCAGACAGAAAAGGTTTCCACTGACAGAGGCAGCTGTAACAAACGTGAGGACCATGTGCTCTTTGCACTTCTGAGATCCAGTTTTTCCTCAGGAATACAAACTACATTTAAGTTCCTTAATAACATAAGATAGAGGCAAGTAAAATTATTAGTATTTTTAAAATCCTGAATTCCTATAAACACTATTTTCACTTGTTTTCCTATGAAAAGGTGCAGCCTTACATTGCACATCACCAAATCTGCAGTCACATTTACTCAAAGCGTTAATTGTGCTAATTTCACATTCCTTCAGTCTCTCTATCACTGAATTTAGCAGCTCATCCATCAGAGAAATAAGAGTTTCTGTCTCTCTTTTCTGCCCGCCCCCCAGCACATGATCACCAGATCAGATCACTGCTGGAGCGGTGGGCTGGGAATCCACTTAAATGGAAAGCAGAACAACCCTCTTCCACAACGGTTTCCAAACTTCACCAGAAAAAGACAAGAACGCTTTTGAAAAAAATCAAGCTAACCGACCACAGCACCTCTGCCACCTGCGCTGACCCTGCAGGCTCATTCAGTACCAAGCTGGCAGGAAACGAATCCATGAGCAAAAAGCAAACTGACAGCTTAGGGTACTGAACCAACCCAACAAGAAGCCAGACCAAGCACCCGCTGATGAAGACAAAAAACAGAGTGTCCTGGGCTTTTGGTGGCAGCAAGCGATGAGACTGCTTGTAACCTCCTCAAAGTGCTTCCTTAGACCTTCTTCAACACCTGAGTAATACAATCAGCATTTCTGAAAATATATCTGTTTAGTACCTCGTAAGCAGATCTATAAATGCAGTATTTATACCATTCAAGTTACTGATTAAAAAAAAATAAATCTCAACTGACTACCATATCAAACAGCTTCCAATCAGACACATACCAAGTGATTTCCTAACTCACAGGATGAGGCCATGTTTAACTAGTCTTCCTTCCAACCCTTTCATGCCAAAGTCACATGAACTTCAGTGAGCACAATTTCAAAGAATGAAACCAAAATAAAAGTGACTTGGAAAAACATGGCAATTATCGCAGCACATTGACATTATATTTCCGGTACTTGAAGTATTGGTAATTTATTGTTTCTTCACTTAAACAAGTTTCTAGACTCTCTTAAAAAGAAACCCACTATGGAGTAAAGCTGTGAAGTAAAATTTGACTGGAGATCTTTTTCCTTTTTGGTCTTTTTAAACTCTGACATAAGGCAGTTTAGGTTTGTATCACTGCTGGAACAGCAAGTCTCGCTACTTGCAAAAGCACCTCCTATTTCCTCTTCATCCCCAATGCTGATGTTAGGACTTGTGGCTACACAATCAAGTCTGCAAACCAATGCAGCTGGAAATGGAATCAGAAGGGGAAAAAAAAATTCAGCTGATTTAATTCCCAGATCTGACTGACTACACAAACACAAGGAGGAAAGCAGGAACACATTTTCAGGAGCAGTTCTTGTTGGCAGCATGGACTTGTAACAGTTTAACAGACAGTTAGAAAGTCATATCCTAGATTATTTATCCAAACAACATTTCTACTCAGCAGAGATTTTAGCACTTCCAGCCTGAAAAAGGAGAAATCCACTGACTCAGTAAAATATAAAGCCTTAAGTAGGCAAAAAAAAATCATAACACTGGCAATAGCATTAGAAAAGCCACTCCCTGAACTAGTCAGAAATAGCAGGCTTGTAGTTATATGGTTTGATCTTCTAGTTTTACAAATGCAGACGCTACATATGACTTGCCTATTTACGGTTCACAAAAGTTCATATATAACCCATTTTAAGCCTTGGTGAAGATTGCCTGCACATGATTTATACTTTTTTTAATAGAGGCACAGAAAAGATAGAATAGAAAAGGGGATGGGACAGCAATGGCTGTCCTATCACATGCTGCACAACTACGTTTCAAAAAGACTTTGCTATAAAGATTTCAACACTTCCACTCGTTCCGAATGAAAATACAATGCAGGTTGTCCTGGAAAATTTTACTGATGTTAAGATAGCACCTTAAACTGGTTTTCAGTTTGAGTTGCAAAACGGCAATTAAATCAACTTCCTAAAAATAACATAGAAAGCCACAAGTATTACTCCTTCACTAAAAACACATCTATTGTGACACGAAGACATCAATGAAAAGATAATGCTGGGGGCGGTATGAGTCTATTTTTTAATCCCTGTCTTTCAGCACTCATTTCCATCTAGCATTTTTAGCTAGACCAAATTTTTCTAACCTCATACTACTAAAGCTTATTATAGTGAATCTGAATAAGAAAAAAGGTGTAATCAGAGAAAGGCATCGTA